CGCACCGGAACAGAGTTGCGGCACCGTTTTTCAATGGATTTTCCGAGTTTTAAAAGTAACTTGAAAATTTGATGTTTGGTCCACGTGGATTTGAATCGCTCTGTCGAGCGTAACAGGTTGGCGGCAAAATCATTAAAACGGTGCATGCGGGCTGCTTGTGCATCAAGTCCGATGCATGCATACTGTGTCTGCGCTGGTTGAGATGGCGCTGCTCGGCTTGTGATTGGTCATGTGGTTGCGCACTGAGTGCTTACTGTGGGCAGCGACCATTATGTTTTGTTACACAACTGACGTGTGTGGATGAGTGCACAGTGATTGACTACGTGTGAAAGATAAATAATTTATTTTAAAAAATGGTGAATTGAAAATCTTTTTTAAATTTTTAGTGTAAAAGTGTGACCCCAAATTTAAAAATGAAAAAAATTACTAATTACTTTCAACCACCAGTCCTGCTAATAAAAAGGCCAGAATATTAACAGACACAATGACAGAACACATAGATACGAACAGCAGGGAAAGGAGTCGAGAAGATTTGTCGGACGAGAATTGGACAACATTTTGGAATTTACTATGAACATTTGCCTTAAATACAATAAATTATATTTATATTAAGAACTGAATATATAATTTTTAAATAAAAGATTAACACGATGTGAGTTCCAGCACCTTTTTTCTTACAAAAAAAAAAGCACTGGATATAAATATAATAAATAAAACATCGCAACTATAACTAATAACTTTGTCACATTTCTAGTATTACCACTAATAAAACTGCAAAGGGTCAGGTTAAAACAGGATAGGCATGAAAAGTGGTAAACTGATTTTGTAGCGTGTAATTTTATGTATTTATTAAACTTTTATCCCATTTCATTAGCCACAGGGCTCCCAGATATAAATTGTAATTTATATAATTACAATGTAATTCCAGATATAAATTGTCCTGAAGTGACAAAGCACCTGTAGCAGTCTGCTGAGCAGGTGAGCTGTTTTCCCACCTGGCAGGCCTGGACCGGACCGCACTGCTGCTTGTTGCTGTGTAGCTATTGTACCTGCTGTGGGGGAATAACTGCTGAGAGCCCTCCCCTGATGAAGTATACCTTGAGCCAGTCCTGGGAAGCAGCATATAATGGCAAGAGCTACTCCTCTAATATCTGGCTGACTGATTTTCAGAGACCTGGCAGAAGGGGTTCCCTCTTAAAGCATGAGGAAAGATATAGGGCAAAATGAAGCATCAGGAAGGCAATTGGTGTGGTTATAGGTAGGAGGAGGTTTGGCATTAGGAGAAGGATTAGCCAGGTAAGGGCTAACAAGGCCCACACAGTGACCAGTTGTACCGTGCTCTGGCTCTACTCCCACCAGGAAGTTTGTACTTGTCTTTTGGAGATTTGATGCTGCTTTCAAATCTTGAAGTGGTTAGGAGCAGCACCTGGCAATGTCACACCAGGTTAAGACTTTCCTCTGTCCTATACAGACAGCACATGATGGACTGTTAAAATGATTGTCTTGAGTTGCTTGTCACTGATGTTTTAGTTATTTTACAGTGTGAATGTATTTTAATAGATAATTGTTTTGCATATTTTATACTGTATATTGCCTCAAGTCTTTTTTTTTAGAATGTAATCTAAGAAACCAAGTAACAAAACAGAAAATATGTACTGCATTCATTTTGTCACACACACACACACACACACTATGCCAAGCATCTGAACCTGCAGATAACTGCCAATTTCACAACAGAATTGGTTTTATTTTTATCATAATTATTTAACATTAATTACACTGATACATATTTCTAGAGGTTGGAAAATACATGAACTTTTCTACAAATTCTCTGGAATATAAGCAAAAAATGCCTGTAAACAAAGAAAGAAATGTGACAATTCTACCTGTGATACTGTAATTTAGGGCAGCGGATGAACTACATCTTTATGTTGGCAATATGTTGCATTCTAAAATCTGTTGTGTTTTTGAACTGCTGGGCTATTATCTTTGGACAACATTCACACCAGGAGGCAATCCTGCTACCATAATTTCAAAAACAAAAAGGTCATAAAGACAAATTTTACAGTTCTGTTACCTTTATCAGCTAACAATAATTCCTCATAATGCATTTCACCTGCCAAGTACCTATAACTTGCAGTTCCCTATATATCAAATGTATTAAGTAACAATCATAAAGGAGGTTCAATACTGTGAAATAATTAATCTACAGGGAACAACACAGAACATTAATTTTGAGTCTGGTATTTTGGTATGCTTATGTACATTCTTAAAAATACTGATAACACAATCTTCTACATGTCTACTCAAAAGTAACTCTCACTGAGTTCAGTGGAGTTTGTTCTTAGAAAACTGGTATTGCAATCTGAATATCTCAGGGTCCTTGGTCTATTTTTAATTTCTCTTCAGATATATTAAAATAACATATCTGTATATTTTAGATTCAAAATACATCTGTGTTACAACCTTTATTTTTCCTTACTGGGGTAGTCAAGAGGACACCAAAACAGGTCAAATAGTAGAATTTATTTCTATATGAAGCCATTTTTTCTGTAAATCATGTTATATAATTTTAGTCAAATGTTCCCGAATCTTGATCAAATCATATGTGTTTCAGCCTCAATGCTATTGGAAAGGAATGATGATGAATGTTGGGCTACAATGAACTCTTTTCTATACACACACAAATCATGACTAACTATGACACAATTTAATCAAGTTCCTGGAAAATGAACTGAAAAATAAATTATAATATCCAATTTTCATGCATGTGATAGATCTGAACTTTTACTTCTTCAGTGAAACATATTAGACTAGCAGCTAAAAACTGTTTATACACCTTTCCCAATGTACTGTACTCCTGTGGAGTGTCAGCCTTCAGGTAAATGGATTCAGTATCTCCTATAAAAGATTAATCTGTTTTCACAGATGATAAATCAGTATTTAAGGCAGCTGTTCCACTAGAAATCACACCAATAAAAGCACATAATTGTCCACTAGTACAAATGCTTTATCAAGCTTTAATGACTCCCAAACCTTTCATGCTGCTTGGTCAACTTAACTGATGACTTAGGAGAGTGTACATAATAGGCAAATGGTTTGATAAAGTTTCACCTACTTAGCTGAAATGATTCAGCTGAAATAATTAAATGATTCAATGTGCTGAAATATTGGCCTATCATTAATTTTTAAAATACTTTCTGCTCAAGTAATTAAAATCAACACATAATTAAATACTGTATCATGTTTCTAATTATGGCAGAATCCTGAAAAAAGGAACAACACATTAGCAAATTACTTTCTGTACTGTGTCTTCACATCTCTCATTAAGTTACTGAACATGATCATACATTTATTTATTATATTTATAGCCTTCCTTTTTTTCCTTGGAAACTCAAGGTGGCTTGAGTCACCCAAAGTATGACTCACCCAAAGTTAGCTCCATTTTAGCTCCATGGCTGAATGGGGACAAGAACCCAGATCACCTGAGTCCCAGTCCTGCACTCTTAACTGACTGAATACCATACAGGCTGTTTCATTGGTTAACACACTTTCATCAGTTCGCAATGCCAATGAGGTGCTTCACACAGTAAATTTGCCTAATCAAAGATGAGATATTTGTCCTAATATGATCTAAGTTATTACTAGGTCCAATATCAGATTGTATACACTGTTCTTCCTCCTTAGAGCAGCCACAGAGAAATTTATGGGACTTATTTTATTTTTATTTATTTTTCGATTTATATCCTGCCTTTTTCCTATGAAGGGCTCAAGGCAGCTTACATCATTCTCCTCCTCCATCTTATCCCCACAACAACCCTGTGAGGCAGGTTGGGCTGAGAGTCTGTGACTGGCCCAAAGTCCCCCAGTTGGCTCCATGGCTGAGCAGAGACTAGAACCCAGATCGTCTGAGTCCCAGTCTCATGCTCTTAACCACTACACCACACACTGTTACTGCTATGCTACAGTAACATTAACTAACCCAACATTTTGGGTGGGTACCAAAACAGATATGATGCACATATACATTTCTAATTTTACCTCAGACTACAAGCTTAAGCTTCACTTTTTCCCACTCAGTTTTGGCAATAATGTTTGCTAACAGTTTCAAGTATCATATGTCACAGGCTAAGAAGCTAGCCTTCTCTCATCTTCAGACATATATAGGGGAGGATGGGAAGGCATCCACTTCTAATCCATCCTGTCCATTTTGCAGTGCTGAATTAGTTCACTACAACCATGTGCCGGTGACTAGGCAGCTCCAAGAAAGCTTTTATTTCCTAGAGTTTGGAGACTATGCAGGCAATACTCTACACAATCAAGGCTTAGGTTTATGTAAACATTCTCAACAGGAGTTGTAACACAGATGGCATTCCACTAACATTATAATTGCTGTTCATCTACATAAGCTAAAAGACAGCCCTTGCACTGCAGATCTGTTAATGTGGTAATCATCATTCTGTGCCTAAATACACACAGACATTTGTAACTCTAGCTAGCTGTTACGGAAGAATGGAAGGTCACATAAGTACAGGGGGCATCTAAATAGAATGCAAGGGCTAAGCTGAAATAATTACAATATATAAAGTTGTACAGCTGAGAAGCAGAGAACATCTAAGTAGCTGAAAAGATATACAAGCTTCTCTGATAACACTGTGTTCATACTCCTTAATTCGTATCTGTTTACCAAAGATGAGAAATTCTTTGTGATAATTAATATAACAACACTAATCATGCAGCATTAAAGAAAATTGCTTGCCTCCAGAAAATGGCATCTCTGAATTACAGTGATCATGAATGTATATACAAGAAAATAATCTAAGGGAAGAATTAAGTTACACTGTGAGCTTTGGGACAAAGCAGCAGTATTGGTATTGGATACATTGAATTAAAGTCCCACAGTTTAAACTCTTAACTAACAGAATAAGGGGGAGCATAAATTTCAGGCTTTTTATATATTTTGAGAATAACTGCAGTCTTACAAGGTCCTAAAGGATTACCTGCTTTCCAGTGGCACATTACTGCCAAGGACCCAGCTGTCCTGCAGCTGGACCGACTCGGGTGTGGTTTGCAGCTCGGCGGGCAAAGCAGCCGGCGGGGCCGGACTCTGGTTCCTCCTATTTGTCAGTGAGTTTCTGTTAAGGGAGGTGATAGATGGGTGATGCTGTGCTGAATGCTGCTTGTGAGAAGGTGGCAAAGGTTGCAGGGTCGACTGGCCTTGGTTATTTGGAGGTTGCTCTGAGAAGAAAGAAAATTAAAGTTTGTTATACATCATCCTCACCTTAGCTAGAGCTAAACAGAAACTGAAATGAAAGTCTATTGTCCAAAATATTGGCATATTATTCTATTTGTTGGCTTCAATGACATTAAGAGTAAGTTTACCCTTGGTAGGCAAAGATCTAATTAATATACAACAGATGGTACAACTGCTTTTGGTTTTAATTTGGTTTTTTAAAAAGTGGTTTTATTAACACCTACAGAAGATAGCATCTGACAGATCCCCTAACATGCCTTTAGAACTGTTTTTAACAAACCAACCCTGAAATTAAATGGGTGATTTCAGTAGAATATAAAGGTTTTTGAAATGCATATAATCCCTATAATTATTTAATGGAGTTTTTTAAAAAGCTTTATTTAACTGTAATAAATTATTACACGCTAGTTGCTAAACAGAAGTAGACTACTCTAGTTTAGTGCATTTCAAATAAGGCAGATCTGCACTATGATCTGCTAATAGATGCTAAGTATTCTTTAGCAGAAGGTCACTCTGTGAAGCAGATGTTGCTTCATGGATATTTAACAGACTGAATCACATCTGATTACAACGTCAGAAGACTCATATACTTAATGACCGTTACATCCATTAGAACACATTCAGAACAGATTTTCCAATTTCACACTATGTGGTATAACTGTGTTTTAAAGCAAGTCACAGGTAATCAGAATCATACCACCACGACAATGATATAAATATGTCATGGGTTCCAAGAAAAAGTGCACTTATTACTTTAGCAACAGAAACCAATAAGTCTATAGTTAATAAGAGCTATTTTCCATCTTCTGTAGACACACACCTGTCTCTTCAACACATGTATCTGCCATGTACACAAGATATTAACATGGATTTAATTCAGTTTCCTCCTGTTGATTCCAGTGGTAGCAACTTGATTTGAAACTAACATAATTGTGATTTGGGCTAACAGAGGCACTAGTTCAGTGCAGTCACTAAAACAGTCCACAAAGGTTTCTCAGACTCTGGCATAGAAACAGCTCAACAAAATCAGATGAAGAAAAATGTTATCATTCAGTTAGCATACAATTAATCAGCTTTGTCTTTACAACACCAGTGGGTGCCTGTGCCTATGATTAGAATTGCTATAGAAAGCTTTAAGGTACATTCACAGCTAGCTACAGGATAATTTAACAGGCTAAAGCCCACAAAGGCTTTTTTTCAAGTCTGCTTAAACCTTTATCTGATTTAGATTAGAAGTTAATTATCAGCTAGTAGAGAATTAACTTTCATCATTATGTAAAAATACATAAAAAATGATTACTTACACAACAGGAAACCCTATCTTAAGTCTTTTTCTTTACACAGGATACTAAATTTGTCTCTGCTTTTAGAAGACACTCTTTTCCCCATGCACTTCTTCTCTAATATCTAACATGTCTAACAGAATCTCCCTTATTTTTGGCACATACTGTCTTTAGTGAAATTGTTTATTATTTGTGTACCATGAGAAACGTCAGTTCTACCATTCATCAGCAATCTACAACATGCAAGCTTAAGACAAGCTGTCCATATTTTTATTTGCAGAGTAGAAGACCCAAGTCACAATAAGCAGGGGGAAAACCTATTTTCTGTGACTCCTGAGACACACACAAACTAAATATTTAACTTAAGCTTTAGAGGTATTTTTTAAATTTTTATTTAGATTAATCTCCATCTATAGTAATCACCAATTAGTTTTGACGCAAGGCCACTCTTAAGATAGCATAGCATAAGCTGGTTGTCAGACTTTAAGAACCCCTTTGTTGGATAAGACCAAGAACTAGGCCTGAGTCTTCTTGGTTAATTAAAGGGATGTGCCCTTACTGTTTAACAATAGAGAAGGATGACAGGAAGAAATATGAGATAGTTTCAGAGGTGAGTTTTCAGAGGTGAGTTTCCAGAGGCTCATAAAGAAATTACAAGAGAAGGAATTATTCAAGTGCGTCTGATTCATGGCAGAATATGAATGGGATGAAAAATTGAGTGACATCAGGTGCTGAAAAGAGAAAAGGGAAGAATGAAGGATTTGGTAAATTTCCACCCACTCCAGTGATAGCTGAAGGAGCTAAAACAGGAGTAGGATGTTAGGGACAATAAGATGAAAATTGATCCGATCCTTGCATCCAAGAACTAGAAATACTATAGGGTCCTTAGGAAGTCTGAGCAACAACAAAGCTAGTGGAGGACACAGTATTCCAGCTGAGCTATTCAAAATCCTAAAAGATGATGCAGTAAAAATGCTACACTCAAAATGCCAGCAAACTTGGAAAACTCAACAGTGGCCACAGGATTGGAAAAGGTCAGTTTACATTCCATTCTAGAGATCAAATTGCCAACATATGCAGGATCATGGAGAAAGCTGGGAGTTCCAGAAAAACATCTACTTCTGCTTTATTGACTATGCTAAAACTTTTGAAAGGTAGAGCAAGGCTGTATATTGTCACCCCTGCCTATTTAACTTATATGCAGAGCACATCATGCAAAAGGCTGGGCTAGATGAATCACAAGTTGGAATTAAGATTGCCAGGAGAAATAACAACAACCTCAGATATGCAGATGATACCACTCTCATGGCAGAAAGTGAAGAGGAACTAAAGAGCCTCTTGATGTGGGTGAAAGAGGAGAATGCAAAACTTGGCTTGAAACTCAACATCAAGAAAACTAAGATCATGGCATTTGGTCCTATCACTTCCTGGCAAATAGAAGGAGAAGAAATGGAGGTAGTGACAGATTTTATTTTCCTGAGCTCCAAGAACAGCACAGACAGTGACTGCAGCCAAGAAATTAAAAGACGCTTGCTCCTTGTGAGGAGAGCTATGGCAAATCTAGATAGCATACTAAAAAGCAGAGACATCACCCTGCCAACAAAAGTTCATATAGTCAAAGTAATGGTTTTCCCAGTTGCAATGTATAGCTGTGAAAGCTGGACCATAAGGAAGGCTGAGCGCCGAAGAATTGAGGCCTTTGAATTGTGGTGCTGGAGAAGACTCCCAAGAGTCCCTTGGACTGCAAGGAGATCAAACCAGTCAGTCCTAGAGAAGATCAACCCTGACTGCTCTTTAGAAGACCAGATACTGAAGATGAAACTCAAATACTTTGGCCACCTAATGAGAAGGAACAACTCATCAGAGAAGATCCTGATGTTGGGAATGATTGACAGCAAAAGGAAAAGGGGACAGCAGAGGATGAAGTGGCTAGATGGAGTCATTGGGGCAGCGGGTGGGGGCTTGGGTAGACTCTGTCAGATGGTGGAGGACAGGAGAGCCTGGAGGAATGTTGTGCATGGGGTCATGATGGGTCAGGCATGACTTTGCAACTAAACAAAAGAAAGAAAGACAGAAGGACAGAGAGAAGGACAGAAAGAAAGACAGAAAGAAAATCAGTTTGGATGGAAGCATACTTTAGCATTAAGGGAATGTGCCTGTTCTACTCTGAGACTTATGAATTCCCCCTTCCTGCCTCTTTTTCCAGCATCTGTTTTAGGAATGAAACTAACTGTAATTTGCTATTATGTCAGACAAACAAACACTGGCAAAGTCAAACACTAGTTTATTTAAGCAGACCAAGATCTAAGCATGGATTTCCAATAATGTCTACTTTCGATACAGCCAGTTTGGTGCAGTAGTTAAGAGTGTCAAACTTGGATTAGGACCTCACATGGCTGATTGACCTTGAACCCGTCAATCAGCCTAACTTATTGCAGAGCATCATGAGCAATATATGCTGCCTCTCACATTAAAGAAAGGGCAGAATAATGTAGCAAAATTAAAGTTTTCAGTTTGGGCATAAGAACAAACTGTAGTTAAACCAGGAAGTGGATAGGTCAAATTTATTCTTCTAGTGCAGGGATCCTCAAACTTTTTCAACAGGGGGCCAGTTAAGAGGTGCCAGCAGTGGGTGTTGGGCGCCAAGAAGGTGCCGATGGGGGGGGGGGGGCAGACCGGGGGGGGGGGGCATGCGGGGTGAGGCACCAGCTTGCTTGCAAGGAGATTGTTTTCTCCAAGCAGTCCAAAACGACCTCCTCACAAGCAAGCCACTGCCAGGCACATGGCGAGTGCAAAACCTCTGGGGCGGGCCGGTTAAATGGGCATGGTGGGCTGGATCTGGCCTGCGGGCCTTAGTTTAAGGACCCATGTTCTAGTGCATGCTGACAGTGGGAAAATGTTTGAGCAGCCTTATTTTCAGAATTGTAAAGCATGGTTTCCTTACCATTCCCTAACCCGATATCCTATAGATGTGTTTCAGAACTTCCATCATCCCTATTCAGCCCAGCACCAGAGAGGCTAGTTTAACATTATAGCCAAACCAGGCTAAACAGATTGTCAGTTAGATGACATTATATTGATAAAAACCTTTAAAGGCAAAAGATAGTTCAGTTTGTATTTTAATCAACTTTCTTTACTCCAGTTATTGGGGGTTTAAAGATTATTTTGATTTAATATACTAAAGACTTCAGCCCTGAATTGTCTCTGTTAATTTCAGGGTTTTCAACTAGGGAAACTTGCTATTATTCCCTTATAGAACAGAGCTAGTAACACTAGACAACTGACAACTTCAAAGTAAGCAGTTTTATGACTGAGTCTGAGGTGGCCAATTACTGTGCTTTTCATAACAATGTGGCAGCTGTATGTTCAGGAGGCGCAGTCTCTCCTGTCACACTGCTGCAAAGATGGGAGAAGCCACACCTGTCAAGTTTATTCATTCCATACAACTATTAAAGGCATGGGAACACCTTTCAAAGCCAGGTGTTGGCAATCCTAATTGATACATATAGAGAAAGATTCTTTTCAGTCTTACTGAAATGTCAGTCAGCTGATGAGTAATTCTGATGGGGCTGCAGCCAAATGTTTCCCATTTCTCTGACTGACAGTTCTGGTTTGATGGTAAGTCAGAAAGAAAAGAAAGACATCCAGCCTCAAGGATGCAAAGATTATAGCTACAGTAAATGTTTTGGAAGAATGTGCAG